GGGGAGTGCGCGGCGTGAGGGAGGGAAGGAGGGATAGATGGAGAGGAGGGCAGCGCCACCTTGGCCGTGCCGCACCCCCCGTGCTTGCTGCGATGCATCCGGTTGCTGCCTGATGCAGAGCACTCTCCAGTTGGTCTGGCGGCATCATTGCACCCCTTGTATCACTCACATGTGTGTACAGCTTCTCCACACCGCTGAAGCCAGTCGCCCGCTCGTGGTGCTCCTTGATCACTCGGGGCAGCTCCTCGAGCGGCACCACGGGGCACCACCGCCACTCTCCGCTGCGCTTGACGCAGCGGCACAGGATGTCCTGACCGCCAGCGCCCTTCAGCACCTGGAAGAACTGCAGCACCTTCTTGCTGTAGTTCTTGGCGCCGCCCTGCACTGCCGCCCCCCCTCCCGCACCCCGCCGCCGCCGGCCTGAGGGCGCCTGCTGGTCGCCCTGCTTGATCCGGATGATGCCCTCTACATCTGACTTAGTGAGAAACACATTCTTGGCGCCGTTTTGGCGCCGTTCTAAGGCATAAAGGATGACAGGTTGGTTCATAATTTTAAATTTGCGGCAGCTGCGGGGTGCGGGAGGGGAGAAATAGAAGCCTTAGAGACTCTGAAAGGCGAAGGAAAGGGAGGGATCGCGGGAGAGAGCGTGCCTGATGAGCCAGACGAATCGGGGGAGGTGCCACATCAGCGGGCAACACATGCTGCGAGCGCTGCGGCGCGGTGCCACCCTGTTCACCCACCTGATACTGACCTGGGAGGTGAGTTTTCTTGCGTGCATTCATCAGCTTGCAGTTGTACTCAAGCGCGTGCCGAAGAATTTCAGCACCGTGCGGGCGGCCCTGCGGGCGGCGACCCGCATTGGGCAGCATTGGGCAGCATTGGGCGGGCAGCATGGGCCGTACTGGTATCAGCACTGATTCACTTGACCATGGTGGCCAGCCCTGAGTACTGGTATCAGTGACCAGCCCTGTGGCCAGCACTGGTGACCAGCCTCGCCGGCGCAGTGGCAGCAGCAGCATAGCAGCAGTACTGTCTGCCCCCACTGCCACGACGGCATTGAAGATGCCCCCCACGTGTGCACATGCTACTCACCTGCCCCCTTTACGCCCAGCCTGACCTGTTTGCTGAGACCCATCCTCCCCACCGCTTCCTCCGCCAGAAACCGTGCCGCCTCGCCGCCTTTGCTGCCGCTTGTCACCAGCGCTGGCAGACCGCCATCGCTGCGTTGCCTGCATTCCCACCCTAAACCCCCACCCTCATGTCCACCCCATTTGCTCTTACCGCACCATACCTGCTCCACGACATGCAGTATTGTCTGCCCGCTCACACACTGGACGCTCGGTGACCTGTCAGTTGGCCTGTCCTGCCTGTTGTTCCTACCGCTTCATCCCTCCTTGCTCTAACAACAAAGTCTGTGTTGCAAGCTTGTTCTTGCTGAAACCAGACTGTAAGCCCACACAAGCAAGCAGCTGGCAGCCTGTCGAGTTCAACACCAGCCCCTGGCAGCTTCCTCCACGGCATGCATGATCTAGACGGGTTCCAGGTAGACGGAGGGCCTTTCCAATGGCTCCACCGTTCGTGCTGCTTCCGACATGTGCTTGGCAGCGATGCATCTCCCAGTCATCACCAGCCTCCTTCCACCCCGCCACGTCAACGGACAACCCTCTCTCCTCGTTGTCTCGGTGCATATGTCCATGTTACTCTCAGCTGCTTATGTGAGGCATGTGCTATAGCAGATGTATACGATACGTAAGAATCAGGGCCCCGCACCGCCGGGATTGCCGCAGCCGAGACGCTCAGGACGACCTCGGAGTTTATGTGCGGAAATGGGTTTCTTCATCCACGCTAACAGCTGCCGCATGCTCACAAAGTAAACATCCGGCTTCTCCGCCACCCAGTCTGCAACAACAATTGCATCAAACTGGAATATGCAAAATACTTTTGTTTGGAATTGATTATTGGTGTTTATGTACCTATAAACTCAATGAGTTGGTTATGATTGTCTGCCATCAGATGCCAATACTGATGTGCATAGATGGGGAACGGGGCTCGATTGCCCGCATAAGCTGCTTCGAAGTTGGCCTTGAGAATGTCTAGAGCACGGTGGTTTTTATCGCTGCATTAAACATGTGCCAAAATCAGCACCATCGGAAAGATTATCAACTGTTGTTGATATCAATAAAACTCACACGTGCATGTAATCCGTCATCCCCA